TGGGATGTTCCAGGTGGACCAGAAACGTTCCATTGATCCAGCATTCCTGCAGAAGACATGATGCATGTGATCACCCGGAGAACACACAAAACATGTGTTTAGCAAGCCTAAACGGTGAAGTCTTTGATACAAATTCAGATGGTCATGTGAGGAAGCTGGACATTGTACTCGACATGCACCAGCAAAGTAGTTGTGCTTCAAATGCTCCTAGGATGTCAGTCTCAACTGGCAAGAAGCAGCAACAATATCACATGAAGAGATAATGGAGTCGATTAATGTAGGATGGGTAGAGACAAGTTCTATGAGCACCCTTGCTACATATGAGGCTATTACAGACGTAGTGTTATGATCAGGTCCTTGGCTACAAACAAAGCGGCACCAAAGAACCCTCGGCCGACAAAAGGGGCTTCAAATAAAAATAAAAATTCAATGCAATTTTCCGGATCGCCAATTCAGAACCAGGGTGAAGTGAACAAGTTAAAGAAAACTTCACTCGGACATCGAGCTAGTAATACCGGGAATTATGAAGACAGGAGAAACAAGCAGTTGCGAGTTAAGCATACGGGAAACACATCGAGCGATGGGCCAAACAAGTTGAGCTCAAGTCCACTTTTTCGCGACGCGACTCGTTTCCCCGTACGCGAGAAGAAGTATGAATCAGGCTTTATGTGTCACTGACCACTAAACATAACCAGATACTGGACAATCAGATTACGGGATAACCTTGTACGGGAAAGTGATAATTGATAATGGCATTCCACGAAACGACAATCCACTCCAGCACATCTTGGATGCGCACACCAACAGCCTTTTTTTAAATAACTTCTACAAAAGTGCATTTTTAAAAGTAAAAAGGACCAAGAAACTACAAGTTACACTATAATGTTATGCTAAAACAGAGAGGTTCCAGGCTGTCCAAGCACTGCCGCTATTTACACTTTGCTTTGTGAGGATATAAACCAATACTGATCCAGATTTCCAATTACTGTTTTCTGATGATCGCTTAGTGCGTGAAACTCTGAGTAAAAACACTTCCTCAGTCCTCCTATTGTTTTAATGTTATGCTATAATGTAGCTCAGTTGGTTAGAGCATTGCTCGCGAATAGCAAGGTCCCTGGTTCGAGTCCCGGTGGTGTGACTGATGATTTTTTTTTTTCTTTCTTTCATATCTGGCTTGCAAGTGTTGAGTTTCGGAAGAGTCCATAACCCCCCAGAGTGTGCAACTCGTGATCCTTCTCAGCACAAATCAGTGCCGCAACGAAATCCAAACTTCATACGTCATGTAGTGAGTAGCTATGACGAAATGGGAAGTTTGGCCCGGACCTACTTCGCCCGTTTGCCCAATTTGGGGTCTTTCTTTACGAATCCACGGCCACGTAACACGCCTGAAACTGAAAGGCTCAAGTACACAAAGAATTATTTTAGAGTTGTCGAACAGTTTTCTCTTTTGAGTGTCTCTCCGATAAGAGAAGAACAATGGCCACTGTTGAACCTAAAGCAAAGCGCTCCCCATTGTCGCCGGAGTGCAGTGTCTCTGTGGACGATATTCGTCAGTTTTTGCTCGATCTGGGCTCCTCATTTTCTTCTCTCGATTGTCGAGTGTTGGAAATTGTACCAAAATGGGACTGAGGAGCAGGTTGAAGCACATCTACTTCGAAATCGATCGGGTCTTCATGCCGTGCCAAGAGCTATTTCCATCAAATCTTGTAAATCTATATCCATGCCTATTCTTGCTATCCCGGAGTCACGAACTCTCCCAATACAAGCTTTTCAGACAACGAGCAGAGAAACTCTCTTCAAATAAAAAAATTCTGTGACTGTGAAATCAAAGCCGTTCTGCTGACACTGCATAGCCCGTGGAGCAAACGTTTTACGTGACACTTCCGTGGCTTGCTTCCACTTGGAACCCCCGCCGGATGTACCAGATATGCACATGGCCCCATCCGCCCATGCTTGCCCGGGGACCGGATGACGCAATGTTTGGATTTCGTTGCGCCAGACCCCAACCTGGAGTTGCACACTCTGGGGGGTTATGGACTCTTGGTTTCGGAGAGAAAAGAGCAGTACGTGGCATGTGGCCTCTAATTTCCTTAAACTTTGAAGATCTCCGTGAAGTCCAAATTTGAAATTGCATAATGTTAGTGGACATTATTAATGTGTAACGTGTAGTTCCTTGGTCCTTTTTACTTTTTATAAATAATCCTTGGCTCTCCATCCGTGTTCATTTTTAAAAATATTCCATGCTCTAAACCACGGTCATCATCCATGCACGTAACTCAGCAAAAGGCTACAAGAGAACACTAGAGACAGGGAGAGGAACATTATGTCTGGGAGCGAGAGTTGTAGAACTTACCACCAGTCCTTGTAAAATTGGCGATCCCCGAAGCGCAGTAGCTCTGCAGTGACGTTCAGGAACGCATGGAAGAACCAGTAGAAAAATACTAGCCAGAGGAGATGGTTGGGAATCTGAGAAATGGAGACAGTAGAGTCAGAGACACAGAGCACAGCACACAACTTGTAAGGAAACGCTCAACGAAACCCAATCTCATGAGTCGTGACTAAGCTAGTGCCCTGCACCAGTGCACGGCCAAGTGCTCGCAGGTCTGGAACTGCACAGCACCCGGCACTTTTTGGCTCACGTGACCGGATTTCATTGATATTGTTACAGAACTATCCGGAATATTGAGAGAAATACTGAAGCATGAGATTCGGCCCTAATAGCCCATATTTCATTGCTTTAAAAGTCACAAGATGAAATTTTTGGTGCGGCTTTGGCCGGACCTGCACTGGTTCCGACGCCCAGGAGCAGGAATGTACTCTGTGTCTACTTTTGACAGCATACAGTCAAACCTCGTTAGAACGAACTTCAAGGGACTGAACAAGTGTGTTTGTCTTATCCAGAGGTCTTCCTATCCAGATCTGGCCAACAAATTGATATACATATCACGTGGGCTGTTTTTCTGTGAAAGTGCATGCTGTGGCACATGTACATTGCACATTTATTCATAGAAATAAGCCAGCAACAGGTACAAATATAAGTACAAAGTGCAGTGAGTTCATGACGGCATGTCCTCCGATCCGCTTTGTAACATGCTGTCAATTCGTTTTCCCGTACAAGAGGCATCGTCTATCGAACAAATACAGTCAGCTCACGCAAGGGAACCGAAAGTTCGTACTACGTGCTGATTAGGTTCAAATAACGCTTGAAATAGTTCGTCTTCGCGAAAGTTCGCCGTGCAGGAGTTCATCGTACTGAAGTAAACGAATAATTTTGACTTGATTTGATCCCTGGCCAACCATAGGATTGGCCCTAGTTCGTACTACCGTACTGGCAATATATGTTGCCGCGTAACGCAGGGGGGGGGGGGGGGGGGGTGCGGCGTAACGCGCGACCAGGCTAGTGCGACAAATTTTCGTTGCGTTCGTAACGCGCGTCCGGCGATCTTTTCATTGCAGTTTGCACTGCAAAGGCTGAAAACTGTGAAAGCACGTGTACCGCGTGGCAAAAAAAAGGACTGCGGAAATATAGAAACCTGTGTAACGGCTCCTGTGCGACTTTGCATGTAACGCCCTGCGTGCGGTAAACATGTGCCAATGTAACGCTTCATGGCCTCACTGCGACCATATATATTGCCAGTAAGGTAATGGAAATTCGCCTTATCAGTGTTCGTCCTGAGGAGGTTTGACTGTACTGTGATCAAGAGACAATGGGTGTATCAGATGTACCCTTCACCGGACCATGGCCAGTGTGGATCACTACAACTACAAGGACGGGAACTCACCGCCAGTTTAAGAATGCGCTCAACCATGCGACTGTAGCTCATTTCCTGGACAAGACCGTGCAGAGAAATACACCCATGCACGCACACGCACACACACACACACACACACATGCACACACACACATGCACACACACACACACACACACACACTCAAACCAAACACTCATTTCATACACGTACATCAGGTGATCACAGCATGTAGGTAGGGAGATGACACGGCTGACTGGAGGGGGAAACGATGTCACCTTCGCTCCTGGGATGCCCGTTCTAGTTGCCCTTGGGGCAGGCCGACTTACCCGTGCTCGCATATGGTATCGTTGAACTGTGCCATGTTCTGGGTCAGCGGGTCAAGGCTGCGATCCTGAGTTGCATCAACCAAGGATCACGTAAGTTAGAACTTCTAAACCCAGGGTTGAAACGCACATCGTTATGATACTATGATCTAGTATCGTCTCCCTGTGCTACAACTCTCCCATGGGTAAAAACATTTGAAGAACTTCAAATAAGTAGTTTGACTGTCCAGTATCAGAAGCTGCTTGATGTTCAAATGAGAACTGTGTTGGAAATACTGATAAGAATAGTCATCTGAGGTAGGGGCCCAAACCACAGATGCGCAAACACAAAGAAACACACACACACACACACACACACACACACATCCACTGGGTGGCTTACAATGAAAGTCTCCATTGAGTTCATAATAGTTGGCACCAACCACTGCAGAGACACAGAGAGAAGCATTTGTGTGCACACACCAAAGCTCAGACAAGCAAAGGAAGAGCACAAAAGACAAATGCCCAATGATCAATCGACTCATCCCCAGAATAGAACCAGGCACAGATAGCTTGCTCATACTAAGTAGGTATTACAGCGAGCACCGGCGACCCATACACAATGCCTGCATGAATCACGTCATTGTCCTATGATTCACAGTGAATCAGTTCAGTATGAATACCCTGGAATCAGTTCAGTATGAATACCCTGGATAAAAGATACTACGGGATATCAAGTGAAGCCTGCGTTTGCCGGACCCTGCACCAAGTGGAATGCTGTATTGACCGGAAAAAAACGTTCATGCACCAAAGGGCTGTGGATCGAACGTGCATCCCTGGATCAAACGGAATCCTGTCATATCAGAACAGTTTCCGCTGCACCGAGGGTGACCGGATAGGGCAGGTTTTACTGTAAGTAACTTACTAGCGTGGAGGATCCTGCAT